CACTGTATTCATCTAATCACTATAAGCAGAGTGTGCCCTAATTTTTTCTTGCCTTTTTAAACATAAAATATTTACTAATGCCTTTTAGAATGAAAACCCTGTTTTTGCACCCTGACACACAGCAAGGATATATTATATATAGCAAGGTTATATTCTCAGTAGCTCATTTCTACTGCTTCTACATTTCATATGTGAAAATGGCATTAGTGAATGAAGAGAAAAATAACCTTGCTACATAAATGCAATATATGAACTTTGAAACATCTAGATTTACAGAAATGATAGTTACTGGTAAGTAACAGAAAGTCATTTTCATGTACCCTGTAGTACTCTGTCTCCAGTCGCTAGAAGCTAGGACATTATACCAGAGCAAGTATCACTATACACTTGCCCTGTTCTAATACTGCTCCTTAGGCATCTGCTATTGCGCACTGTTGAAGAAAAGGACACAAGACTTGATAAACCTTTAAACTAGCTCATCGTGATTGTTATTCTGCCCACTCTGGCTGTGCATAAGGAACTTGAATCAGCAAGACAAATAAGGACATGATAAACTTCAAATATGTGAACTATCCCACCCACTTTGAGCTACACATTCTTAAGTGTTTGTCAAATTGGAGCATGGATTCCTATTAAATTCTGATTGAAAAAATAAGACTTCCCAGGAGGACTTCCCAGGACTTCCCTGTCTAATAGATTATGAAGCTAAGCACTAGTCTCAGTTGGATTATTTTACATGTTTAAGAAAATCACATTGTTTTTAACACAATTCCAAACCTTAAAGGTGTTTTAGGCCACTGAAACAGGTGGAATTTGGATCAGAAATTCCACAGAAAGATCACTGTTCAGCAGCTGTGGGGGTCTGCTCCGTACACGGAGGCATAAAGAAATAAATAGGGAGAGGGACAATCTTTTTAAGTCCCTCACACTCTGTTCTACAGAAATTCTACAAGTCATCTCTGGGTGATTTAATTGCCTTTATTAAGTTGATTTATTATTGTTTGCATTACAGTAGCTTCAGTGAAAAATTCAGGACCATTTGATACTAGATTTGAGTTCTAGCTGCAAAGACCAAATAACTGAGCCCTCATTTTATGGAAGCTCACATTGACAAAGGTTTCCACTTTACGTCCGCGCCTACTGCAAAGTACATGCTTAAATTCCAGAGAAGTACATTTAACTAAAGCTGGATGGACACTTAAGATCTTAGATGAATGACAATGTGAACACCTTGCTCAGGATCACATATGTGTGTGTGACACAGTCCAGAACAGAACTCAGATCTCCTGAATCCCAGTCTCATATCCTTACTGTCCTGCTCTTCTGGAAGATGGAAGATTCAAACATACTGTGTAGGAATATTTCCAAGTTTGAGAGGGTGGGGTTAATTATACTAAACATTTTCCTTTAAAAATAGCACAAGACTCTAGCTTCCTGCACAAGACTCTAGCTTCCTTCACAGGTCCCTGTTAATAGGCATTTGCAAGATCAGAGCCATAGGCAGATCCTAACTCCTGGGAAGAACCACCTAAAGTACCTTCCTTTCTATGTGTATAGCATGCAGTTGATCTATGCTGCACATAAAACATAGTGCATGCAAAATGTAAAAAGAAAGATATGACCATCCAAACTCTCCTCTGAACTTTAGTCAGAGCTCCCGTCTACAGCTCCATTTATTTTCCTGCACCATACAACAGCAACATCTTGATTCATAGAAAAACACTTTTAAATAAAGTCTAATTTCTAAAGCTCTCTCTGCACTTACATACATAAAATAACAGACAGACATAAAAACTAGTATACATTATTTTTAAAAACTCTCTGAAAATGTCTAAAATAGATGTTTTAAATTATGGGACACAAATGACATACCTTCAGAGTATGCTGCTATATAAAGCTTTTACACTCACATGGTTGGAATGACCAAATAACTTCTGCTTATACTCCTCATGAATAATATTAACTGCTAACTATGGCCAAAACCGCACAAATATCATCCCATATTCCTTCAATGGTACCTACATATTTAGACATGGATTTTCTTCCTCTCTGCACAATCACCTCAGGGAGTAAATATAAAAATCATTTTGCTCTTTAAAGAGATAAAAGTCATTTTAGTGCTTGGTGGTTCCCCCTCCCCATCCCCCCTCAAGAGGTTAAGGTGACATTGAGAGGTTAAAGAGATCAAATGCAACCATTTTAAATTCAGATATAGGACCCTGAGCTGCTGAGGGTAACATAAGAATGAAAAGCTTTGAACTAATCTGATAATAATCTCTTCACCTCACATAAATTAAACCCAATTCAGTACAGATGATATTTCAAAAAACTATACCCTCAGCTCTCATAGACTTTCCATGATTTTTAAATGTCCAACTGCCTTATGTTGTTTTGAAAATCTCACCCTACAAGGTTAAAAACGTCTATGTGACTTAACAGATCCCTCTAAGAGGAAGCACTCGTCCCAGACGGCCATTTATCCATGTTTAGATGAAAACTTCCTTCTAGGTTTGTTTCTCTGCCCTAACAAAACAGGTTTTTCCCCCTGCCCAGTGAGACAAAAGTGAGGGGTCTTTGAAGCAATGTTTGTCACTTCTGCTGTTCTAGTTTTTAAGTACATCTCTGGAAACCAAATGCATTAACAAATATACACTTGAGGGAAAAGTTAAATGAGAAAGCGTTTCCTGAGAATGCACTGCCTTTGCTTTTAGGGTATGAGTAAAGATCTTTTAGGTAGGAGTATGGGTTGACCACAATCTGCCACCAGAAGCCACTGGGGGACGGACCATTATTACACATGATCATATTGATCATACTACATATGATCAAAACTAGGCCATCTATGAGGGCTTTGGTTAAATCCCATTCACCATCCTTTTACAGACTGGATAAAAATCGTCATCCCAGAAGCATTAAAACTGAAGCAGCCTCAGGCCTACAGGTCTTCTTGTTTTGTTTCTTTTCCTTAAACTAGAGGAAAAATCTCCACAGAGAAATAGTCTTCTAACGAGAACAGCTTTCTCTCAGTAGCATCTCTGATAATACTAGTTTTACTTTACTGTAACAAAATACACAGCACATAGTACAAACATTCCCACAAAACTCTACAAAATAAAATCAGGGTCTCCCTGTATCACACATCAGAAAATGGAAAGAACCTCACCTAGGTGAAGACTTCAGACCTGCTTCCTTGCTAGACAGGTGTGAGATGATTGACATTTTGCCATTACAGGCTATAGACATCATAAAAAGAGAGGGAATTAGCAAAAGCAGTTCACTCATCAAGTTAAAAATTTATACTTTCTCGGTTCAGATTTTAGAAGTTCTCAACACACGTCATTCTCCTCCATTATCTTTGTCTTTCCTCATAAATACAATCTAAATTAACTCATTTATTTCTCATTTAAAAGTTTTCGGGGATTTATTTTGACTTTTATATGGTGACAGAGCACCAGCTCTCCTGCAAGAGGGATTTTGGATAACGCTGGGCAAATAATGAACGCGTATCCTTGCGTGCTTGAATTTTAGACATGTGAGCGCTCTGAACTTACACATGGGTGGCATTAGTTCAGAATCTCCTCAGGGAAACTAAGGCACACAGCAAGGATATTGTTTGCTCATGGTAACACAGTTGGAAAGCAGCAGGGCTGGGAAAGGTAGGCAATACCCTCAGCACATGCAGCCCAGTGAAAAACACTGTTCAGAGACAGTCAGAGAAATAAAAGATCACTAACCGGCGCTAAGAGTGGCACACAACATGCTGCCTCATTGCCTAAGTCTCTGAGAGGTTAGAGCTGCTTGGGCAGCAAGGCTTGGCTTGAGGCAAGTGCTCTGATGCCTGCAAATGGGTCCATCTTTATTACTGAAGCTGTGGCATAAAACGCTGTCCTTCTTAATGACCCAATAGAGACCACCTAAAAGATATTTTGTGAATTAGGAAAGTGAGTTAGCCATGTTTCAAGTGTTAGGTTGAACTCTACAGAGGTATCATAAAAGTTAATGTCATAGTAGCTCTTGCACAATAGATATTGATTGTTCTAATTTCAGGCCTTCTAGAGAGGACTGATGTTACACATTTAACCAAGGGAAAATTTTATTTTATATCTCATTTACAGCTGAATCATTAGAACCAGAAAAGTGGAGTGGGAGGGGATTCAGCAAATGCCCATGTATCAAGTAGACTTCATTTTTAACACAGATAAAATTGTCTTTGCTGAATGTGAACAGTATTCTTCAACTGCTTTTGGGCAGGATGACCTAGCAAGATAGAGTTTTCCGTAGCTCTTTGACAAAAACGACTAAGCATGGGAAGCTAAAAGTTTTTTGTTATTGCTGTTGTAGAGCTTTTGGGGGGTTTATTTATTTTTTAAACCAAAATTGAATCTTGCAAGTACTACTGCAATTCCATTCCTCCTGTAAATTAAATCATTTTTTATACCACATACAGTGCTGTAACGTATGTAAACAGCTGTCAGGGCATTTCTGGAATAGAGTGTTATTTTATTCATTTCATAAAACACTGATCAGAACAACATGTGAGCAGCAAAGCAACAATATATACAGGCTCAAACATCCATTTTGGCTTTATGCAGCCATTTTGGAGCCTGAAACTTTGTCATGGCTTTGCTACACACTGTCTAAACGCCACCAAAACACTTTCATACTTGCCAGCATCCATCAGCAACAGATTATTTCAGGGCTCTGTCACATACGGGCAAAAATTCTGTCCACTGGGAGGATTTCGCAGTCCTGCTAGCAGTAAGTACTATGAAGATACTGTAAACATGAAGACCAAACAGGTCATGGGGACTGAGAGACCTGTCTTGAATTCATAAAAGCTACTATCTAGCCCCATAGTTTTATAGCTTTCAAAGAGAATGACAGAAACTAAACATATACTAAGAAAACTTGTGCAGACTTTGTGTCCAGTCAAAACTGCACATTACAGAAGGCTACAGGATGAAGCGGAGAGGTACCACTTTACAAATCTCATAGCTTACTATTGCAGGCTGACCCCAAATTGCTGGGTAGGTAGAGGTGGTCTTGGTGGAGGAATCTTCACCACAGGTGGCAGTTTTCCCTTCTGTTTCCCCTGAAGATTTTCATCATGTCTGCAAAAATCAAGAAATCATTGATTTTCTGTGCATCACAGCTAGCTGACAAACTACGTATGAACATCCACCAGTATTGATCACGATGCTGATCTTCTGACAACAAATATTCTGCAGGTCCTAGAGAACCTGCATTTGATTTGAATCAAATCAAATTGTGAAATTTTTAAGTAGTGTTTGTGGGAGAATACTTAAGCAAGACACAGAAGAGCTCTTTTGCTTCAGCCAGTGGAGCACAGTGATAAACGCGTCCAAAAAATAGGAGCATGCTATAATTTAAAAGCAAAAGTCAAGCCTATTTGCTACTCAAAACACAACTCCTCTTTCTGCCCGCAGTACATTTTATAAACCTTAGAGCTGTAAAGTATTTTCTGTTATTCCACATTTACACAAAAGGTGTGTAAAAACCCACCAGGCATCAGTAACAGTCATAATCAAAGCTTCCAGTTACTTTCGTTCAGTAATGACATAAAATCACTTCCTGTCAGTACATCAAAGCATTGCCACGTAAAGCACTGCATCAGGAAGACTGTTACTGATACCTATACTGGTATTTGACAATTCCAGCCCTGTGCATTTCTTTTTCTCTCCCATCCCTTCTCCAGCATCCCTCCCTAACACACATATACACATATAAAAGTCATATACAATATAAAAGTCATGGATCTGCTAACAAAAGACATATCCATAAAATTTAAACACTGTGCTGATTGCAAATGCTCTTAACAAAAGAAAGTCACTTGATCTGTTATAATACACAAGTAAATAGGTCAGGAGCATATTTTTGTCCATGAACATTACTTGGTACTCAAAAGCAATACTAACACATGGACTGGTTCTGTTAATGCTCACACAGAGGCTGCAATTATACTAAGAAAACTCTCCACAGCTGAGACTTAGATGTTCCAGATCCATAGAGAACTACAGAGCATTCTCTTCTGTAAACATACAACACTTCAGTATGTGTTTGATGACAATGCAGCTTTCAGAGTTATATTTAACCAAACACAAGTAGGTAAATTAGACTTCTAGACATTAAAGAAATAGGATTAGATCCTGTAACAAAAAGAACATGCCATAATTCCATCTGAGAAAAGGTGACACAAGGTATGTGAAACCTGCCACGTACCGGATGACTTCTTGAGGGATATTAAGCTGGTCATATTTCAGATGCTCTCTCAGTTCACTTAAATAGTTCAAGTAGGTGACTTTTTTCCCAAACTTATGGCTAAAAAAATTGGAAAGAAGTATAAAAATCAGCATGGGAGGAACATCTATGAATGGTTTAGTTTCTATTACAAAAATGTAAGTGCTGATGCAACTCAGAATTAGACTGTAATTGAAGCAGCAGGAGACATAAGATGTATTTCATTTCGTATGATCAAACATATACAGTGCATGCCTGAGAGTCTGATTTGAATAAAAATAACTGACTTCCATCTGAACGTTTTGCGATTTGCATAGATATGAAAAACACTGCTTTAAAAACCACTAAAAAACAGCTTTCACGTAGCATTAGAAAGCTTGCCAAAAGGAATGTTGTGTAGAAGACTTTCATGTTAACTTTGGAGAAGATGTTATATGGCCAACAGGATATCATGTTTGTGTTTTTTAGCTACTCCTCCCTACCAAAAGACAAAATAATGGACCTGTAGATGTAGAGTATAAACTAGTAAATGACAGGCATAATTTTCACAGAGTGTATAGTGTGCACCCTTCCAAGTGTCAGGCAATCAGCTTCATCCTTTTTGGAAAAAGTGATTTTTAGAGTATGGCTTCTAAAAGACATGCTGAATAATAAGATTCTGTAGATGAGCTGCACAATACAGATTTCTGAATTTGAAGAACCAGTATCACTAGATAGGCCTTGAGTTTCAGCCAGAATTGATTACATACAGGCCAAAATGTTTAAACACGGTTCAGGGACACATTTATACACAGTCTCAATCTCACGTTTTTCTGCAACACAAAATGTAATGAAGCGTCAAGAAAAATAACAGGTGTGTATGATAAAAACTGTACTTTGCTACAAGTTACTTTGATAGTGAAACTGGAGAAAAATTGTCTTCCATTAATGAATTTAATCACTGAAATGGCAAACAGACATACACAGGCTCCCTCTAGTGGGAGATGGCACAAATACAAGTTACTTGAGCATTTGACAAGCTTTTAATTCAAATTAAGTGCTAAATATTGCTAACAGGAAAGCAATATTGCAACACTGATAGATTTCAGTCTGATTGTGTACGAATGCAGAGATTTTGAGCTCGTGGATTTTTTTTTTTTTTTTTTTAACAGAATGGCCTGTGATTTCAACAACTTAGATGAGCAGTGGGCTAAATGAATTCTCTAAGTAATCACTCATTAGTAATATAAAACATGCGACAAAAGAGATAATTAAGTCATGAGCAATTAGAAATTTTTGTTGTTCTTTAAAAATATTATCGCACCACCACTAGCAAAAAAGATAACATGTTGATAAAAGACAGGCAGCTTTCGCTAGCTCACACATAGAAATGTGCTCTTCTGACATTTGTTTGCACTTTGCAAAAAATGCATTTGACTTAATTCATTAACTTCTTGCTCTTTTGGGGACTGTAAAGGAAATTAATCAACTTCTTTTGCAGCTTGAAAAGTTTCAAATATTTACATTTTCTTAAACACTTTGAAACATAACCATGCTAAAATACTTATTACTTTTGTTCTTTGCTCTAAAAATTCTATTTGTTCGCCCAGGTTGCAACAAATGCTTTGTTCATGTAAACGTACTCAAGCCAAGTTCCTAACAAACAGAAAAACAAATAGATGCTTTTGACAATGGCATTCATTTTACAGTTGTGATTTTTCTGGAAAACTCTATCCACAAATGAGTCTGGGCTATAATTCAGCAAAGCTAGGAAACAAAGTCCAGAGGCATCTCCATCCTTTGTTGTGAACTTTGGTTTGATAACGATATTCAAATAAAAGCATGACTTGCTAAGGTAAGATTATTCCAGCCTAGATGGAGAAGGTACAGTGAGCAAATTCTAAATTGTACTATTCTAGTAAGTTAACGATATCAGTAAGTTTTACTCATTAATGAGAATACAATTTAGGCAAATCATACATGGATGTTTTCATATTTCAGCTGTAAAATTATATGCTTACTTTTCCCCTTACTTTACAAATAAGACAGTCTACCTGAACCGTGAATGCAGGAGAGTGTTTGATAATTAAACCACTTTCAGCAGTAAAGAGGGTTTTTTCCTAGCTTCAGCTGATTTTGGTGCTCTGGCTTATGAAGCTATGCAGAGTTTACTCATGGTTTTAATTATTTTGTCAGTCCCAGGATATGAACAAATTTGTTGCTGTTCATTACATATTCTAACAACTGGGAGTAGAGTAGTACTAAATTAGAATCAAAACAAGCATGCAGGTACACAGCAGTAAAAGTCAAATGCAAACAAGAATGCTGGGCATTCAAAAGGTCAAGATGATGATGCATCTAAGATGACAAGCCCTGGTTCCAATTTTCTGCCAGATACTATTGCTTAAATGTATCAGCATTACCCATTTTCACATCTGAAAATTTTCACATTTCACATTACCCATTTTCTGCCATCTCTGAGGAAAAAGTTGGTTTTGCCCAAGTGCTGAAAAATGCATGAAGTGTTTTCCCTGTTTGCTTGCTTGCTTGCCTGCTTCCTAAGCCTCCTCCTAGAAAGCTCTCCATACCCATCTGACAGGGAATGAGGAACCAAAAAAATCCATCTCACTCCTGAGGTACAATGAGCTACTGGACTCCTGCTTCAGTCACACTTCTCTCACCATTAGTTTACATCCTCGACCTACGGCATCTATTTTATTGCCAGTTAAAATATAAACCTATGGTCGTTCTCCTTGTTTCAAAAGGAGTATATTCCAGAATGATCTTTAGCCATGGTTACCATTTATATTTTCACATGCTTCTTGCATGTTTTGATCTGTCTAGAAGTTAAACCACCCATTCGGATTCATTAACTTTCTATCAGTCAAAACTTCAATTAATTGCAAGTTACTATAATGGACATTTTTAGTTGGTTCATTATGGCTTCTCAAGATAAGCTGTTTGCTTCCTTCAACCCTGAGAACATTCATAGTATAATCCAAAAAAAGGTCAGAAGTATTTTAAAAGTGGTAGGAGTTCAGGAGCAAAAACCAAGCAAGCCCAACCATCTTATCATTAATATTTGTGTAGATATGCAGATAGATTGTAAACAGCATCAATTTTTATCATGCAAAGAAAAAGAAACCAGCAGTAACATAAGCCCACCTTCACCGTTTAAACCCTCTGTCTCAGATTCTTATGGGCACTTCAGGGCATATCCATTAACTTTGAACACACAAGTAATCTCATTCCTATTCATCTCAGCACTCGAGCTCAGACCCAGGGTTAACCGTTTATCATCTGCTTTGCCATAGCACCTAGCAATTCCAGTCCTGGCCCAGTTCTATTGTGCTAAGTGCTGTAAAACAGAACAAAAAAGTCCACAGATTTTATCATGTAACTGTGCTTTAAAATGATACTTACTTGAACGCATATCCTTACCTTTAAACATGCTATGAATTGAGACTCCCTTTTCTTAGAAAGGAAAAAACCCTACCCCATTATTCATACCCAAGCTTAAGCTCACCTTACACATTAGTTCAAGCCACATTTTATATGTGCATTGTGTGGTTATCTGACATATTTTACCTCAAACCTTTTTAAAAGCAATTTATTACAGAACAGACCATCCTTAAACTAAACAAGAAAATCTTTTGAATAAACTGTCAAGTACCTTATAAGAGGCTTAAAAATATTCCACAGAATTTTTATGAAGTTGGTTGGATGTACAACATACAGTGCTTTAAGGTTTTTTTTATACCTAGAAAAAGAAAATGAAATTGTTAGACTTTTTAATATCATATACTGTAGAATTGAATAGCTACAATTGAATGAAAGGTTTTATTACTGGAACATTATACAGCATTCTTTTCAAGTACCTTGAAAAGACCCAATTCAGAGGGAATTGAATATAAAATGAAAAAAAATAAAAATAAAAAAAGGTCAGTTTTGACAATATAATAGTAGGCTAAGATTACACTACTTATTATATTACTAACCCAGCATCTGTTGTCTTGTAGGTTTAATAACTGGGGGAGGGAAAGAAAAGTATTGGAGAAGAGGCAACTTGACAAAGAATTGAGAAGAGGAGGAAGAGCCTTAAAAAACATATGACATAAAAAATACTTTCCTTCAGCTCCTTCCATTCCATTTAAAGGAATTTTCATGATGGAGAAAATTTCTAAATTTTCAGATGTAAAATTTACACTAAATTTTTTATTCTTCTGACTACATTTGCCTTGTTTTGATAGTAATTATCAAAGATGAAGCCAACTGCACACTGATTTACATCAGATCGTCCCTTTTGTTTAAAATGGAAAACCGTTCTCTGTTACAGCGTTACTTTATTCTGCAGTGTCACATCATGATACAATAAATAATGGATTTGAGTTGAAACAAAAATGAAAACCAGGCTGCATAAAAACACTCTGATCTCGCTCAACATTATGCATTTTCTGAATTTCATTTTGCAGCAATCAAGTATCTTGCTTCTATATATAAACTATTGCTTATTACTTCTCTAAGTCTCTTTCCCAGTAGGGAAAACTCCTCCTAAATGTTCACCATTCAAGGATTACTGTTAGCAAAAAATGATCATGAACTCCTAGGAAAAACCTTCTCATAACAAGTTATGATAAGAAGAGGGGAGCAACTTAGCAATTACAGCAGCTTTTCCTTCTCAGTTTTAATTGGGCTTATACATCTTTGAAAGAAAAGGGCACTGTTTTTACAAAGGCAGTATCATATCCAAGCAGACAACTATCAGACACTGTGCAACTGGCACCACTGTGAACAGAGAAAAGAACCCAAATACAACAACAAAAAATAGCAAGCAAAAAAAACCTGAGCTGCTTCACTGAAGTTTACATTTTAAGTTTGTTTTGTATCTTTAAGCAATTAGGTATCAGCCATCACTTTTGTGAAAGTTTACATGCTTGATAGTTTCCTGGACTACAGTTATATGCCCGAAATACTTTCCTGAGCCTTTCCTGTAAGTCTGAAAAGCAAGATTTAACCTTTTGAAACTATTCCTTTTAAACATTTGCTTGATGCTAGTTATCTTCCTTTGTACTCTCCTCTCCTCTTTCCTCTGACCCCCAACACACACAAACAGGGAAGAAGCTCGGAGGTATTCTTTTTTGTTTTTTCTCTGGCTAGTATAGCTAAAAATATATGTTGGGCTGTGAATATTGCTGTGAACTTAATGACAATATGCAAAGAACTCCAGCCATGAATATAATAGTGTGTGTAAGGTTGCCCACTTTTACGCGGTTACCCAGGCTTATCTGTTTCCCTTTGATTCTCCTGCTTTCTGGGACAGCGTGGGGGATGGAAAAAATGGATTTCTGGTATTAAGTGAGGGTCATGTTGTGCACTTGGTATGTTCCCATGCCAGAAGGGAATGAAACTAAGCAAGATATTGCCCTCCTACTGCCTCTCCCCAGGCAGTAACTGTAAATTTTGCTTGGGATTCTCCCAGAAGGAAAACAGTATGATAGAGCAGATTTCCAGGACCATACAACCATTTATTTTCAGAAATTGTCCCAGAACAGCAAAAAGCTATGACATTCCAAATCTTTCACAGAAGACAAGACACCCGTTCCTTTTCTTCTCCCTTACCCAGTCTCAGAAATAACAGGCTACGTTGTATTGACCATACTGAGAAACCTATCAGCAAAAAGTAAGCTTCAGTCTGCTGCTGAGCTAAAAGTAAAAATCACATGAGAGCAGTTAGAGGCTTTTGATGACAGCTTCATGCTGCAGTTCTGATGGCTGCTATGCACAACCTCATTTTCCCATGTTTTAGGGGCTAGGGTTTCAGGATAGTACTGGGTGAAATTGAGAAGACTGAGCTCTGGCACTAGGCACATCTCAACTTCAATTTGCAAAACAGAGTGCGTACTCCTGTGAAATGCTCAGGTATTAATTAATACGCTAGTTTAGTCTAGAAACATCCCTTAATCTTTTTCACAGTATCTTTTTTTGAGATTTACTTCCTGTTCCATCTCCCAAGTTGGAAAAATCAGAGAGGTATGATCCCTCCCAACACACTTTCATCAGGAAAGAGCTATTTTTTCGAATATATTCTCTTTCAGTCACGCTGCCGTTTTAAGGACACCTTACAAACACAGTAAAAGATTAATTGCTGTTAATAAAAACCGTCAGCTCCATCGGTAAGTGTTCATTTTCAGAGAATAAGCATCAGAACTTTAGTTTCCACTATTAAAATGAAATCCATCTAGTAGTTTTGGCTGGACTATGCCCTATCCAATTAAAACATGAGATCTTCAACAGTAGCCAGCATTATTCCAAAGGTCACAAGTCTATGAATGCAGTGGTCCTTTATGGGCTTTATATATATATAAAAACCAGTAAATGCCACAAGGGTTATGAGATACAGATTGTCAGAAACTAATCTCTCCGTTTACACGTACAACCTAGCCTTGGAACGATTAAAGGTTCAACCATAACTGTGAGATAATTAAGAACAACGACCAATAAGGTGTCACAAACATCTTGTTAACCAGCGCACAGAAAAGCAGTGGCTCGTGATTCTTGCTCCAATGCTTTTTATACCTTTGGATAACCATCCCAGCACCTAGCACGCTGATTAGTACTGCATAGAAGACATTTTTAATAGAATCAACAGCACCGAGTTCATTACAAGAATTTGCAGTGGCAAAATAAACTCAACAGCCTGCTGGCCGATCAGGAAAGGTATGCTTCTTTCATGGAAGTTAGAGGCATTACACAACAGAAAGAGTAAACCAACTATTTTGGAGACATACTTCCTGTCAAATTCTTTGTAGGCAGTTTGCAACCACTTCAGAGATGGTTTATTCCGACTCTTCAGGCCATAGTGAAAGTAGACAATCGTATAATCGTTCTCCACATACTGGTCCAGAGTATACTTTAAATACCTGAGAAGACAACATTTTAGTTTTAAGAGAGTATATTGGATGAGATTTTTAAACCAGTAGCTGAGAAAATAAATGTACTATTTTTGCACAGAATGCTAGCAATGTAAATTCATGTTTGCTTTCAAGTATTTATCAAACAAGTTCAATAACTCCACGGTACTATAAACCTCCAAATTTGAAAGAACATGTTTAATTACAAAATGTACAGTACTCATGGACCACTAAAAGAGGAAGACAATATGGGACCATGTTTTCCAAGAAATTTAAAAAAAGATGCATTTTAACTGACATTAACTGAACTTCTATTTCGCTTTCTTCTGATCTCTGTAAATTCCTTTTTATTAGTCAAGTAAACATCGTCATTCTGACTTTTCAAAATAATGACAAATAAATCTTATTTTTTCCTCCCAATTTAAAATACTTCAAATTCTTGAAAAAAATCCATCAGCTAATTACTGCCAATTAGGAATAGTTACTGCAAACCGTTTTCCTTGATTATGTTTGCCTCTCTCTTGTTTGTATTGCAGGGACTGTGTTCATAGATCATTTCCTTTGAAACTCATTTAAGGAACTACACTAGTTATCCCATCTTGAAATAATACTGCATGTTTTATAAGCAGATTTCTTTATGTTGATTCTTTTATGGTATAGTTTAAGATGCTTTTCTCTTTCCTTTCTCCTACAATTGAGGACACTGTACAGTCTATTACACAGCTCAATGATTCAAATAAAGCAATGATGGAGGAGAATAATCTGATCTCATCTCTTGCTGTGTCAGATTTTAACTTTCTTATGCCGTTCTCAATGCTTTCTTATCATTCTGCGGCATAGCTCTAGCTGTTGTTCTTAATTGTGTGTAGGCTATTTTCATTTAATAGATAGTTCCATGTGGCATTTATTAGGCTGTGGCTATCTGAAAGTATCAAGGCCACTTTGACTATTCACCTATGCAAAAGCATGCAACTTCACTGTTACCCTGTACTCCCACCACCTCATTTATCTGCTTATTCCCCTCAACATACTGTAAATCTTAAGACTGTGAACGGTATGGCACAAGGACCGCCACCGCAATTAGTATAATGCAGTTTTGTTCCTTGAGTATTAGATGTTAGTTTAATAGAAATAGCAGTAGCAATTATTCAAGATTTGTAACCAGTCTGAAATCAAAATACACCTAAAAAGACACTCCTACATACAGGGAGCCTCATGCTTTATTTTATGACACGTAATTCCTTGGCACATTGCATTCAGAAAGTCTGTACTTCTAAAAATAACGGAGAGGGTTTTGTGGACATAGAATAACAATATTTCTGTACAGTCAACTACCTGTTCCAAGTCTGTAACAGAGTTGCAGGGACATTATAAAAGCTTTACCAGATCAATCTTTTAAGTGATTTAATCACGAACAACCTACCAATCTGGGCCTAATCGGCACAGTCTTTTCCTCAAAATTCAACTGCTTGATCTAACTACTTAAAGCATAGATTACCTGACAGATACAGCGCTAGCTTCAGATTCAGGTAACTGCTTTCGGTTCTCTATCTCAGCATGGACTTTCCAAGAGAATATGATGTAGGCTCAGATATAGAAAAGCACTTAATTGTTCAAATTCCTGAGGGCTGGAAATCCAGTTTTATCCAGGTGCCTCCTTGCAGAGCTGAGGAAGGGTTCTTAGACCTGCATAGCAACGTTGTCACTCCTTTCTTTCGCATTACTTACTAATCAGTGCGGGTAGCTCCCCTAGGTGATGAGTTGACTGCTGTGGATCTTCCTCCAGGGTGCTCACACTCCTTCTAAACTATATAGGAAGCTTTGGCTTAAGGCAATTGAACTATGCTAACAGCGTGAGGAGCATACAAATTAAGCAGCGTTGTTTCAAACGCTTACACCTCTTACATAACCTGTTTTTTAATCCCTCTCTGTTTCTGAAAAGTTAAGATAACAGCAACTCCTTCTTTTGTAAGGGCAGGCATACTGAAAAGTGCTCAAACATTTTGGTAACGGAGGCTGTACAAGAACGCAAAATAGGTTTAAAATGCTTAATAAGGACAAAGCTCTCCTGACAAAATCGACTCCATTGTAGCGACAAGCTAGGGAATCTAGGTAAAAACATGTTCTGATACCTCATTGCATCAAGTTTATATGGAAGAAGAATGTGATTTTTCATATTTACAACCTCGTTAACACTAAAAACAAACATCACAAAGTGAGATAAAAAAAGGTTAAGCAAAACGATACAGTAAGTAAGGTTGATTATTTTATAAAAGAAGAAAAACAGTGACATATAAATAATGAAACAACATTCTTGCTAAGTAACTTAGAAGATGAAGTATAACAAATTAAGGCAAATCCTACAGTTCACTAGAAGATACGTGCAGAGCACTAAAATACTTGAATTTCTATCTCATTGGTTCTCATGACGAGTTCCATTTTTAAATGCCATTGGAATTCATTAATAATATGAAGACCACAATACATAATTTCTGTAAACAGTTAATTGCGCTTTCTAGTCAAGATTCCCGGTGAAGGAGCTCCGATAGCTTCATGCACATTTCATTCACTTAATATTAACATTTCACTCTCTGCCCCCGGCTTCTCCTCCCAAAAAGTTAATTCACCTAGAAACAAACTAACAGAAGTTCACTTATAAAATGCAAAGTAATCCAAGCAGGGGACTGAGAGAAACTTACTCCAGCAATCTGGTGTGATTGAGTTGATGGGAGGGAGGCATACGGCAGCAACTGAAAGTAATCACCTTCCTTCCAGAATTGTCATCACCTGGTGAACAAAACAGTAAAGACAATGCTCATTTAGTTATAGATTGGGATCTCAATTATCTGACGGGACGGCTCATATCTTCTGATACTTGGGGCTACGTTTGTAGCTCCCACTGCTACCTAAAACGCACTGTGAAACTTCACTTTCAAATCACTTGTTGTATACAGAAATCAATTTGCCCACCACTGGCTAGAAAAGATGCAGCTGTCTGACAACAGAGGGAATTAAGCTGAGAAAGCCATATTCAAAGGAGACTGGAAGCGTTCAGCTCCTGCTAAGGGACACTAAAGTCCTCCTGCAGAATTCAGTCATGGAAGAAAATAAGCCTGCTTTCCCTAGTAATCTAAAGTGGCCTGTTTTTAACCTCTTCAGGCCTTATTTTTGTAATATATAAGAATATTGCTCTGCCTACAAACACTGTGGGCATCTGCTTTGTCACACACTTCGGTCAAATTTTTGAGGGCAACTTAAGCATTCTTAGATCCTCTTTTCCAAAAGCACTGCTACATTCAGATCCCATTTAAAACACAACAAGCAGGGCACACACCTGGGCTTTTTATAACCTGAAGATCCCTAAATGTCCATCCCCTTAGTCTCTCCGGCAAAGTACATACTGTTGCACCCAAGTCCGTTACACCCATGACTCAAGACGGCTTCACTCAGGCTGCCTGCAGAGATAAGGCTGGTATTCATGCCAAGGCCACCCCATGCCAGACTTCCACTATCTGGCAAGTCAGACTCAGGAGTTTAAACAATGCTTGTACTAAGGGTAACTCTGCCCTGAAGACTGTTAGCTGCTAAGATACTAACATTTATCTACATGAAAGATGTCATTCCTGTTAAAATAATACAGAAGCATCCCAGAAAACTTTATCTCACACACGAATTAAGTCTTACTCTTGTCTAATTTCAATGTTCAAATTAAATTATACTTAATCTTGGCTTCTACATCCACTGAAGTATCAAAGTTTGGCTTTGATAGAAAGTTAAGACTTTTTTTTTTTTTAAGATATTCTTTCTAAATCTGTGGTTCCCTTTCCTTCCCTAATTAGGCAATGACTAAAATAAGCAAAGAAAATAGGTAAAATGGAGGAAGCGAAATCTGAAAAAGAGTGACTTAATGACTAATTAAAATCATGACAGCATTTCTGTGAAAATTGTGCAGAACAGCTTCATACCATTTCTTAGGCTGTTCTAACTTGTGTAACTGATGCAGGCTCAAATTAGATAATCTGAACTAACAGAGTACTTTCCAGCTTTGTCAACATCCATATTTCCCATGAAAACCACCACTGATAGCAATATGCTTTCCCTCATTCCCATGATGTCCCTTGATTTGACAAATTCCACACTCAGAAAAAAAATCCCTGTATTTGTTTTGCCCAGTTCCTGCTTCGTTGTGTTCACCGTACTTGCAGAAGTCATGATGAGACAGTATCTTTACTTATTTATTTATTTTTTTAAACCCATTCCAGCTGGAAGGGGAAGAGGGAAGGAAGAGGTGAGATTAACACTTAATGATTTTCCACATAAGAACACAGACTGAGCGAGAGAGATCGTCTGCATTATCAGTTCCACGCCTGTGTTATCACCAGGAACTGTATCATATAATCCCTTCAATTTCCTTGTCAAGTTCCATCTTAAAAAGCATTTAGGTTCTTCTGCTTCTTGCTCCTCCCGCTAGAAAGCTGTTCCTGAACTCCCTGCTTTGACAACCAGCAACCCCTCTTTCTCAATTTCAGTCCAAAAGTCACAGTGAGTTTATACCAATTTGTTCTTGTGATAATAATATCATTCAGCTGAAACAGCTCTTCTCCTTCAGTACTGTTTACCATCCTGAAGGAATTTCTAGACAGTAATCACGTCCCCTCTCAGCCTGTATTTTACTGCTTATAAACAATTTAGTTTTTCTGTCTCTTTTAAGCATCTCCATTCCCCGGATTTAGCCATTTTCTACACTGCTCCAATCTGAATGCATCCTTACTAAACATGGCTGACCAGCATTAGCTAATGAACTGCAGATGGACATCACATACAGGACTTGACAGATTTCTTAAAAATACCAACATCATTGTCTATACTGAAAACCAAGGTGTAGCATGGCAACTTTCACCTGGATTACCTCTAACTCCACCCCATACTTATTTCACAGAAGACCACTTTCTCTCCTTGTTCTCTTTTTATTTATATAACCAAAGAACCTTTGGGTATTTGTTTCACTATCCTTTTAAGGTCTAACTCAGCATGACTTTTGACAATTATCACTATAATCCCGTATTTCTGACTTCCAAGGCACAGCTTTCTCTGCTGACTGATTCTTTTTTCCTGCTCCTTATAGGTTGAGTGCCCATTTCCATTCTCTGTCATGAAGGTGTTTTTTCATCCCAGAAGGTCTGGTGTCCCTTCCCTCACTAAAAATATGTTTTGACTCACGGGTGCTCAAGCCCCACTAGAGAAAGCATATGCACAACAATACAATTACGGATACTCAGGTATGTCTGCATGTTGTTCTTAAACAGGTCATAATTTTATTTCCCAAAGTTAATTTATCTCATTTGATGATCTCAGACCATTTATAAATGTGACAAGCATTAAAATAAATGATGTGCTAAAATTAAATTAAAATATTAATAACAGATTGTTCTCTAACTCATGACTTGTTTGTGGAAAAACCGTTGTGTTACAATACGCTGTAGAACATTGTATTCCAAACCTAAGAAAGGTTCCCAGTTAAATTGCTAAATGAGTCACTAATTGTTACTGCTGGTTACATTGGGCTGCCTGCATTAAAAAGCAGAAAAAAAAATAATGAGCTTTATAAAAGACTGCAAATGGATACACTTAGAACATAAACAAACATCACTTCCCACTTTTAATGATGGGGAAACTGAGACAAAATAACTTTCACAAAACTACCAGCAGAGCAGTGAAGGGCACCTGTAGCGCCATACAGGCAACAACAACATATTGGAATGCGTGACCTCAACTCTGTCCCCAACCCTGCCCTAAGCTGCACCATGGGCAAGCCAACTCCGTCTCAGTTCTCCATCTGTAAGAATTTAAAAACCAAATAAAGCAGTGCCAGCTTCCCATTAGCGATGAGATTCAGAGAAAGGAACGAGGCTGTTCTTTCTTCACGTGCATCAATAAGCATTTTTCATAGGCATCAAAAACATTTTGGAAAACATCAAATTTTAAAATGACACATGAAGTGTTGATCCAAATAAAATCAGGCCTCCTCTACCCTCCCCTTCACCAGACAGGCTAAGACTGAGCACTCCAGGAAGCTCCCATTGCTCCAGCATGTTTGCTACCTGGTCTGAGACAGCTTGACTCCCATGACCTTGAGGATACAATTCCTCTCCAGACACTTGTAAGTGCAGTCTGAACGGTAAAGTGGGGAGGAGCCCCACTTTAGTTTGAAGTATGCTTTAAATCCCGCACAGATAATATACTTATCCCATAAAACCTGTATTTCCCTACTGGAATTAAATGAATTTCCCTGGAACTAAGTAAGTTAGAACTGAAGGATACCTCATTCTCCACAGGGGACAATTCAAAAACAAGTGTAATTTCCACTTTGCTCCTTGAAGTTGCAATGTGTGTTTTAAAGTCCCTTTCAGGTGAACAATATAGCTTTGTTTTAACCTACTTTATTCAATGGACTGATGTTATCAAACACCTTCAGATGAAAACTGGTAACTTGCTCTACCCAGCCCATATAAAGGCTTTCCTCCTCTCATCTTTCTGCACTGTTTTTGAGCTCCACATACTCAGGCAGGGAGCATTCCAAAGACTGAGTGCCTTAACTGCCTTGCCACTCAAACTCCTCTAGCCACCTATTTATATCTTTATATACCCATATTTTTCATTTTGGTAAAAAAGTCATCCAGGTCAAAATCTGCCCTCATGCATCAAAAAGGTCTGATGTTAGATTTCTCTCAAACATGGACAAGGAACCTTTGGATCAGCCACCTAGTATCACGCAGAGACGTTCACAACTAAGGTATGTAAAATCCCAGGAGATTACTGACTGCCACAGCCTTAGCGTTATCAGCTGTGCTCACAGCTGAGTCAGTTCGGTTACCTCATACGGCAAAATCAGCCTCTTCCTTTGTGAGTAAGGAGGGGTGAATAGAGTGTACTGTCCACAGTAAGATTTATGCACATTAAAAGATAAGATAACTACTGGGATCTTATTTGTCTGTGCTCCACTGAAACAGACATGAATCATACATCACCTTGGACATCAAACTTGCAGTCCAACAATGAAAAGTTACAGCAATGACACAGGGAAGGGCAAGTGGGAAAACAGATCATTCTACTTTTTAATTAAGAATTTGGATGGCACTGCACTCGCTAAGTGCTTCTTGCGAATGAAAAGTTCTTTCTAATGATACAGCTCATTTCAATTTGCAAATGAGACCTTTCAAATGCTGTAATTTTAGCACAACTGGTTAAGAACTTTGGTTCTGATGATACTAAATATTACCATTTTACAAGTGAAAAGTGATATACCATTTTACTTCACTGAAACTTGTCATTATCACACTACAACAAAGCCAGATCCTAAAAGTCAACAGAAATTCTGCCACTAGTTTCAACTGGAATAGATGCAGGGCCAAGATCCAGGAGACTTGCTACTACAATGAAAAGACTTGCTCATGTATCTGTTTTGTTCATATAACTTAGGCTAGTGAAAATGAGCCTAATCCTCAATCGCATTATGTTAAAAGGCAAGACAAACAGTACTTCCAAGCCTCCTCTTACTCTCTACAACGCAGGGAACCATGGGGTCACAAAAAAGCCATTACTAAACTTCTGTGCTTTGCCTAGGCTGAGATAACTTATAGTAAATATGACCAAGAACTAATGCAGTATGAGTCTCTGCCCATCCATAATAACAATTTTCTTAGCCAGTAAAAAAATACATGGCCAAGATAACACAGCTGAGTCTTAACATTAGTGACAGACACTTACACCTTTAGATGCAGAGATTC